TGTCCTTGCTTAAAAAGAAGTGTAAAAGGCTTAACACTAAACTTTACTTTAACTTAAGCTATTTTTAGACCTTAACTTAAATAAAATAAATTAAATAATTAATTAAATTATTACTAATAAGTATTTAAATAATAAATTTATCTAAGAAACTTTAAACTTACTTTAAAACAGCACTAGTTAGTTAAAAAAGGTAACACTAGCTAACTATAAAAACTAAAATAGTAAGCTATATTACTGTAACTAACTTATAATTTTTAATTTTAATAAACTAAGAATTAAACTACTTTAAATTATACATAACTTACTTATTAGAGAACACCTAGGCAGAGGAAAGACTCTTAACCTACTACAGAGAGAGTACTACTAGCCCTGCATGTTCTATACTGTACGCTAATACGTATTATGTTGCTATACTTACTATAAAGTAAAAGCCTTTTAAAAAAAGTATAATAGCCTACTTAAACTGCTTCTAATCTCTAAATAAGCTTAGAAAAATATATTAATTAATTTTATTATAAACCTACTCTTATCTAAAAGATATATAAATATTATAGTAGTTATTAATTACTTAACTAAGTATTAATACTTAATACTATGTTTCTTTATAACTACCTTTAATATAGCCTAGTTATTCTACTAATATGTATAAGTTTACTATAGCCTACCTAACATAATTATATTAGACAGAGGTACACAGTTTGTCTTAGCCTTCTAGAATAAACTTTATAAATAGCTTTAAATTATTTTTTATTTATTTATAGCTTTTTACTTAGAGACTAATAGCTAGACTAAAAATATAAACACTATAATAAAATAAGTCCTATAAGTGTATATAAACTACTAGTAAGATAACTAGGTAAAATAGTTAGCTATAGTATAGTTTAAAGCTAATAACATAATATTTAAATTAACATAAGTATCTCTGTTTTTAGTAAACTATAGATACTACCTTTAAATAAAATTTAAACTACTTTTAAATACCCCCTAACTAACTTATTAATTTATATAAGTAATAGATGTAAATAGATTTATTAATAAAATCTAAAATATATTTAAATATGTTTATAAAAAGCTTACATAGGCTTAAGCTTTTTAATAAGAGTATATAAACTAATTCTAAACTCTTGCCCCTATGTATGCAGCTAGCAAGAAGGTCTAGCTAGACACTAGAAATATCTAAATAAACTAATAATTAAAGAAACTTAATTAAAAAAACTTTAGCCTTTTTATAGTAGCTTATATAGTTTTATTACATACTTACTAATTAATTCTACCTAACAGCATAAAGATACACCCTATGTTCTATGTATTATTGCTGCGCTAAGTAGCCTCTAAATCTAACTATTTACCTAGATAGCTAAACCTGCTACTTAAACCTATTATTATAAATAATAAACTAGAATATGTTATAGAAGACATTAAACAGATCTAGTTTAATAAAAAGAAATGTATTTATAAATACCTTATAAAATAGACTAGATATAATAAACTGTTATAGGAACTTATAAAAGCTTTATAAAAGAACTTTATAGTAACCTAATTTTACACTTAATACCTATCTAAACTAAACTTATACTCTAATAAAGATAACTTAATGCTAGAACTACTAATGTAAAAGATTCTCTTCCTAATAAGGGGAGAGGTACTGTTACAGCATCCTCCCTAGATCCTAGACATAACTGTATTAGACATGTACTAGAGTATTATTAGTGCATGTCTAACATAAATATAACATAACATAGACATAAACTTAAGCATAAACTACCTTAACACTAACTAAACTTAGAATAGGCTTAATTTATACCTAAAGTGCTTAGACTTTTAAGCTAAGTATTTAATTACTAATTTCCTTCTAAACCTTTCTATTCCTCACACAACATCTTGTACCTACTATGATACCTCACGTAGTAATTAAACTAGACCTCTGTAAAGCTCTATAACCTTACTCGTGCACAATCGTGACAGCCTCTATCTATACGCCGCAAGCCTGCTAGCTTCTTAAATAGTGCTAGATAACTTACAACACTTAATTAGAGCTAGATTATAAGGTTAAAACACTAAAAATTATTAAACTAGTAAAAATAAAGTAAAACTTTTATTATAACTATTTTATACACACACTTAAGCTTTACATGCCTTTTAATAAGTATATTAGCTATAAGCTTATTAAATATTATTACTAAAGCTTTTATTAATGCTTTTAACTTAGTAATCTTAAAAAGTGCTAGTTTATTAAAAAAGATAGCCTCTTTGCTAAGAATTAAGTAATAATTATAAAGTACTAAAAAATTCTACAGCCTTTTAAAAAGGCTACTACCTGTATAAAAAGCAGGGGCGTAGCTAGCATGTTAGGCGCTATCTAGGAGGTGCTTTTTACACTTAATTAGCTTGTAACTACCCTTAACAAGATGCTCTTTTAGTATAATAACATTAACTTTAATAATGTTAACACTCTAAAGAACTACATTTAAGCTACTTATAATATAGCTTATATTAAGATTATTAATTATATATATAAGTTAAAAGACACTTTAGCTTATTACACTGCCTACTATCTCTACCTACACATAAAAAGTTACATAGATAAAGTGTAAGTAGTGCCTTTTAATTATAATAAGAAGCTTTATAAAAAACTTTACATATATAAAGGCTAGCTAGACAACTGCTACTTTAGCTTTTAACACTTATAAGTAGAGTTTAAAGACGCTGCCTCTCTTATTAGTACTCTAGAGCCTCTACTAAAGAAGGCATGTACAGAGCTAGCTAGAAGCTAGTTAGATTTTATAAGAGCTACTTTATAAAGTAACAACACCTGCTTAACTTATTACTATAATAAGTTTAAGCGCTAGATAATTAAGTTACTTATACTAAAAAAGTCCCTATTTACATGTAACCTAATTCTGTACTAAATAAAAAAGGCTAATAAGTACTTTATTTTATTATACTTTACCCTTATAATTCTTAGCATTCTTATAGTAGCTACTAATTATAAGAGGACCTTTTCTAAGCTAGGTAATTTACTAGAAATAAGGCGTCTCTGCATAAAGGCAGACCTCCTCTCTGCTCTACAAAGCCTATGTAGTTAGAAGCGCCTTAGCTTAAAGCCTACAAAGTTAGTAAAAAGTCCACGTAGTAACACTATCTCTCCTAAAGACCTAGAGACTATCTATAAGATATATAGTAGTTAATTTACTATGTAATCTATTAATTAAGTTAATTAAGTTAATTAAGTTAAGCTTTATTTGTGCTATTAAGTTAATTAAGTTAATTAAAACATGCTAGATCTGTTAATTAATTAAGCAATTCACCCTAACTTAATTAACTTGATTGTTGCCAACTCTGGCAAAGAGGAAGCGTTACTAGGCTACAGGCTCACAGCGCTCCTCAACACTAATCAAGAAATTACCCCTACGATTTAATAACATATTGGGGATTTTGCATGCAGCTCTTGTTCTAATTGCGTTTATCTGAAGTGTAGGTTGGTCACTGAAATGCCATCGCAAGTATTCGCAATGGGTGTTTTAAGTCCTAGTGAAATGATATGGACCATTCAAGGTACCCTTCAACTATAAATGTAATAGCGTAGACATAATAATAGCACTGGACCATGTCGAAGATGAAAGCAGATGAAAGCAGGGGAAGATAAAGCGAGCGCGGAAAAGACACATGGGTTAGCGACAGATTTAGCATCGTTGGCTATATTGTTTGCAGTTATTCAGCCCGGAGAGCTCCATCTGCTCGTATCCACCCACCACTGCGGCTCGCCCTTGTTACATACTGCCCAGTTTCCTCCATTACCTCAGTAGACCCCTAGGTACACTCCTTTTAGCATTCACCTCAGTCCTCATGAGATTGGCGCTCCCAAAAGCTTCATATATTTCTTAATGTTGGGCGCACTTGCCTAAAAGCAGGGAGTCTCCCTGCTGAAACACTCACACGGTTAGAGATGATGGATAGAGGGTATATATATGTGAGGGGTCGAAGGTAGCGAGAGCTAGACTAGGTAGATGGAGCGATTGTGTAAGGTTTGAGGAGCTGGAGTGGCTCCGAGGTGGATATATACCATGCAGAGATGCGCCAGTCTTAATGAGGAAACCGCTAGTTCCAATCAGTAATCAGTGCAAAGCAAAAACTCAAATCGGGTGAGACGCTACGTCACGTGTAACGCAGCAAACACGTGCGGTAGAACACCTCCGATGAGATTTCCATCCAATGACAAAGAACCAGGGCCCCACATCAGAGGTATGCTTGTTTGGTCAGTGATAAGGCCCATCAAGCTAATCCAGCCCCTCTAGCGGCGATGAAGTTAGGGCTAGAGTTTAACATATCAACCTCGAAGCCCAGATCCTCCACAGCAACTTTGATGACTTTCTGTGTGCCAGAAATATTGACACTTCTAGGACTACTAGTCACTATGACTGTGATCACTTTTGGAGGCAGCGGAAACGATCGTATTTCTTGTGTCATTATCATCCTCGGAGACCCAGCGCCCCCCAGTTCAATGGAAGCTGTTATATACAGGTTGCGCCAGCGTACGCCGTACGCTTCGCGCATGACTTTGCCAAGTGAAGGTAGGCAGCTTCGGTGTGCTTAACTAGTAGTGTCTGGCGTACTAGAAGATCAAGCTCTTGCTTTGTACGTCTCTTCTCGTTGTCTTATCGTAAAAGCCTAGGCTATGACCCGCATATGCTGATGCTATCTCGTCAGAGATATAGCGGTGATTACACTCAACCATTCGGAGGCCTGAATAATTCGCGGCATCTGCAGTATCTTCTTGATGTAGATCTGGTAGCGCGGGGTAGTTAACGATGACAGAGGAAGACGGGTCTGTTGCACATACATTTTATCCGCCTATATATAATTTTCTGCTCTGCTTGGTAGGAGGTTGACATTTTATCACTTGCAACAGGGTCTGCGGGTTGAACAGGCTTCTTCGGCATTCTTGACAAGAAATTCACATGCGGGAAAGCCGGCAAATCAACACCTTTTCGTATTTTTCTCCAGAATTGACAGTGATGATCTTTCCATTGCTCTTCTAGGCTATCGTAGGGGGACAACAAGACGCGTTCGGAGGTCGTTTATAGCCAATCAGGCGTGTTAAGCCATCACAAACAGAGAATAATGAGTTTAATTGAGAGGGTTTGGTGACGTACTACGCACCTGAAGGAAAGGAAACATCAGCCACCTATGCTTGCCAGCGGTGCAACTCACCAGTCGCTTATATAACGAAAGCAAATGGTTTATGGAAACACTCGTCCCATTCCGTTTTCCCACTGTCCCAGAAATTCTTTAAAACCTGAAGGCCATACAACGGCATCGTAGTTCCCTGCTGCCAACTCATTTCCTCTAATCCATGGCCTATACACAACTTTACATCTAGACTAGCATCTCTGGCTTCTACCCCTGCCACGATTAACGGCCATAGCATACATATTTTCGTCACTGGAGACGCCATTGCCTTCTTGAGAAGGGTGAAGAGGGAGGTCTTATGTGCAGTCCGTGCGATTCGTAATTGGGGGGTGAAGGGAAGGACGAAGAGACTTTGGAGTGATGAAATACAGTATAACGCTACTGCAGACTGATAGATGCGGGATAAAAGAAGCCACTCTTCCTGCCCGAAGTCTTGGGTGGCGGCATATTCTTCTGGAGAGAAGGTGTTGATTTGTCTTAGAAGTTCTTCGGCTGCGGATTGCATGGATTTGTCAATGAACAATGCGGTCGAAGCTTCGTCTCGGAGATGGCTGATGGCGATGATGTGGAGGAATAAAGGAGGGGGACAGAGGACGGTTGGATAGAATCCTTCCGGGTACAACTCAGCTATCAGTTCGACGAACCCACGTATTGATGTCGGGATTTGGTCTGAAGACGGGCTTGTCGTGTTTCCGAGAACGGCGACACTAGAGTTTTGCCAAAGTGAGTATACCTGAGATTTTGGATGATATGAAAACATATTATAGCGGCAAGTGGACTTACATTATGAAGTAAAGAACGCACCACTTCATGGTGGGCGCATCGTCGAGGAACCTCCGCAGCCCACCACGAATCTGTATCAACTGCATCGTTCCTTCAAAATGATGTCGCCAATCTGAAGACAAATGCCGTAACTATGCTGACGTCAGCAAAACTCTGTACGAAACCTCTAGAACTCTCCCCCAAACCAAAGCCACAACATACCTCTGCAACCATGAGCATGAAAATTCCACCAAAGGTTTGCAACTTAGTCCGTTTCGTTTCATTGCCGATTGCCTGGCTCAATTCTTGGATTGCTAGGCCTCGGTAGTGGTAGAGACGTGACCAGGCATATGTGAGTGCGCAGTTATTGGATGGCCGTGGGAGACGGTGGATGGCGTGACCAATGGCAATACAGACCATAATATTGCGCATGCAGTCGGAATAGTAGTGGACCATCTCAAGAGGGATGAATACTAAATACGGGCTGTTTGGAGCCATTTTACTGACAGGCATCATATCGTTGAAGACCTGGGTGTTGTCTGGTAGCCTCCAAGTTAGACTAGTATTCTTGTCCTTAGAGAAATGAATGACTTACAGTAGTGTATCGCGTGAACGATCGCACTCGTTTCATCGACCCTCAACATTGCAGCAGAGATCGATTCTACACACGTTTTGCCGGCAATTTCTAGAAGCTTGATATCATGCGTCTGCTCTTTGGTCGGATTCTCTTTCTTCCTAGGAGGACTTTTCCGCCGTCGGGTTCGGGAAGTCACCTTCCCGGGGGCTACCCATTTGAGGGGCTTCTTTTCACTATACCCAGGGCAGTCTACGCCAGCCTTCTCGCACTTCTTGCATGACGGCTTCCCATAATCACACACGAGTCGCCGACGTACACACTCCCAGCATTGTCGCCTCGGGCCGCTCTCCGCGTGCACACTAGCCTCCTCACTCCCTTTGCCGGGAAGAATTACGAGGTCGCCCATTTTTGGATAAAGAGTAGCATATGCAGGATGTCATGAGTGTCTTTCCCATGCAACTTTGCATGTATATACGCGAGTATGAGTTGTCCGGTTTTGGGGGCGGATTGTGTCTGCGTGGTATTTTCCTTTTCCGTCGGGAAAGTGGCAAAGGTGGCTGTGTACTCAGCCTTGCTCGGCGCGGCTGACGTCTGAAAACCGCACAAGATGACTCTAAACTCGCCGCTTTGTCCTGGGAGAAGGTATCAAAGGATTGACAGTTCCTTTGTGTTACAGCTTATCGGGACGACCGACCGGCCGTAAGCGTGGCGAGTTTATGGTCTTCATCGGCTGCTATAATCGGGATTGGGTTGAAACTCGACCGGATGCAAAAGCTTGGCAGCCCTTTCATCTCAATTTTAAGTTTTCGCTACTAGACTGTCGATGACTTATACAATTGGTGCCTGCTGAAGACGCTCGGAAGGGTTATGAATTTGCTTGCAGCTATGCTCGCCTAAGGATCTGAGTGTAGCAACAATCAAATGCAATGACGACTTTCTATTCATACACTCGTCACAATGTTCTGTTGTACAAAAATAAGACATCCTCTACGTAATTCCATCATCTCAGACCTCCATCCCAGATTGTCCATTATCAAACCCATTAATCTCCCAAAACTCCTTACGTTTCTCCTTATCCTTCCCTTTCCCTTTACCCATCATGCCAAACGGATCGAAAAACGTCATAGCCCACGACCTTTCGTCATCCCAACCCGGGCCCTGAATCTCAGTCTGTCCATCCTGTGCAAGATAAACGCGATAATCCTGCGGAAGATACCTCCTCGGATGTCTCATATTCCACCACACTTCATTGACGAGCATGACGCTTGCTTCGAAGACATAGAAGAGCCACTCATATCGCAAGATGGGACTGAGTTTGGCTGGGTCGAATGTAGGGCCGGTGCGGATGTCTAAGAATGCGAAGTGCTCCACGGTGCGGTAGATGGTGCGGATGAAGATAATGCCTGTACTGACGTACAGTGTTAGAAGTAGGTCCTCGACACCGCGGCTGCCGTAGCGGGCTTTGAGGCAGCGACGGTGCGTCATAGTTGCAAGCACAACGAAAAGCGCGATGACGATGAGCTGGAGGATAAGTGAGGTCTTCATTAAGATATGCCCGAGCTTGGTGAGATTCTCAGGCAGCGAGGTGTTAGCGATGTAGGATATGCCGATTGCGTTCGTAACTTCAACGAGCGTGGACAGGGAACCGAAGGTGGTGAGGACACGGCCTGGGTGGAGTGGTGCGAAGTAGGGTATATAGTATAGGAGGCGGCCGAGGACGTGGTAGTTTGCGAGCTCAAGAAGGGGCCTGTGAGTTCCCCATGAGTAAATAGAATGCTGGGAGGATGTGTATGCTTACGGAGACATGTAGATGAATGTTTGGCTGGCGATGTACACAGGAAGGTTTTCGTAGTTAAACGCGCCATACTCCCGCGTTATGAAGCCGACAACAAAGAAGAGGCAGCAAATCCAATGGTAGGATGTTACTTTGAAGCATCGGTAATGACTAGCATGATAAATCGTCAGGTTTCATTATTCATGATCGCAAAAACTGCTGATACATACAAACATTGCCAGAGATGGAAGAGTCCTGAAGTCGCAAATGCAACCACGAAGAAAACTGGGGCAATCTTATTCGGAGCGTATATATAGACGCTCCCGTCAACTAAAACTGTTAGCAATATCTGATGAGAAGTCGCAGAATACATACCAGGCTTTCCGTTGGACATGTCTCGTAGTACTACTCCTTGAGGACCAAATGAAAAAAAATCTCACGGTGTGATCGAAGAGATATCAAAATGTAGTTCGAGCTTGTCTATAGACCATCCCTTCTGGACTGCTTCGGCGCATTCTTATATACCCAAAAACCTTCTCTTCAAGAACCACTACACCCCAAAGCGGTAAATTCACTCCATTGACGTGGCTTCAGTAAAACTGGCCAATCATACCGCCAACCATTCTTTCAGGCCACCAACGCTAAGCCTAACCTGTGATTAATCATGGCCAAGAAAAGATCGACAAACCTGATGCAGCCTCTCAGCCCTGCTCAGAAGCTCCATTTCTGCACGTACGGACATTTGATTCTTCTCCCTGGCTTGTTGTGGGACATGAAACAAAGGCTTGAGGAGTCCGTATGATGCAAATATAGAATATGGAACCAAGCCACTTACACCATGCTTATTGGGAATTTTGAAAGGGAGGCTGAAGGGCGGGCTCCGCCGCATTGTTCCTAAAATCAAGGAAACAGTTAGTATCGTTAGAACTCTTTTGCCGTAGGTTGGAGGAAAGTCTTTACTCCTGTTATTTGTGCTGACTGCTACACCATTATTAGTGGAGCGGCTTTTCCATGCCTACCCCTCGAAATCTAATAATTCTGTATCGTACATTCACTTACGTTATGTTCCTGTTCTGCCTCGCTAAACTTGCTTCCGTTTCTGTAGCGTTCTGCTTAATTAGCAGATTAGATATATAGCTAAGTAATATTCATAAGTTCGTAGCTTTTGTTTAAGATTGAAGAACCTAGCAAAGATCACATTAGTCAATAACGCCTCTCAAGTCCTATTGTGTTATTATGCTAACGTCTTGTGCTAAGCCCTGCAGGATGGTTATTTACCTGCGTAATAGTTTTGCGACTAACTTACCAAAGCCTTCCCGCGCATCGTTATGTTAAGGTTACCTGTTTCTGGCCCTTCGAGCCTTTAATGCACTTTCTACGGCTCTGCCTGGTTCTCCACAACTGCATTGCTTCTTCGCTTGTACACCTCCTCCCGACCACGGGTCACGTACCCAAGTTCATATCTAGCATTGCACTACGGAGAGCAAAAGTTACAGCCACCAACCTTACAAGTTGACCGGCAAATCATTCTAAATGATGAAACTAAGGTCAAATACACTAAAATGCATATTGAGTAGTGTTGATTCCCAGAGTAGGTAGGTTAAATAATCTCTAGTTGCTACAAGTATGGGCTACTTCCTAACGAACATCCAACTCCTAGAGCATCTTCACGCAATGTCAATCCCAGCAAAGGTCTTGAGCCAACCTTTAGGTGCATCCGACGCAAAGTAAAGTTCCCCACTCTTCGTACTTCTCTCGATGAGATCAATCCCACGAGGAAGCATTGATGCCTCGTACTCTGACACTGCACGATGGAGATCATCCAGTCCGTGCTTGATGATTTGTTGGGCTAGCCGGAGGCTGTCGTACAAGGCACAGTTAACGCCTTCCCCGACAAATGGTGTTCTACCGAGCCCACCAGTCAGCCGGAGGCACTTGTCGGCTAGGAGGGAGGATAGGGTAATGTATCTTACGTTACGTGCGCAGCATCTCCTATCAATGTAACCCCAGGAACAGTTTGCCACGAAAGTGATTCCGTCGGCATAGCGTATAGAGGCCAAACATAAAAGTCTCCGTCACTGTGTCGAATCACGTCCGTATGGGCCTCCGGCCAGTCGGCGAAGCCATCACTCAGCAGCCATTGCCGGAGCGCTGAGGAGTCCTTGATAAGAGCAGCTTGCTCCGAGCTCCAATTTTCCGGAAGGCGTAGGCCAAAGCCAATGTAATATGAACCATCACCTAGTTTCAATATGACAATTTGCTTCCCATCGCCAATAGCCATATAGAGACCATTTCCGGCTAGCGACACAACAGAGGAGTGGAAAGGACTCTCGGGTTGGATAGCCGTCGTCAAGTAATATATGCCCGAGTATTGGGGCTTGGCAGATGTCACCTGTTCATTGTTATGGGTTAATAGTGGTTCTCGGAAAAGCATGTTCAGGCAACTCACCAGACTTCTAACCTTAGACCACATCCCGTCCGCCCCGACTACGAGTTTAAAACCCGATTCAATCCTTCCATCTTGAAAGTGGATGGACATCGACCCATCGGTCTCTTTTTGCACACTCTGAACCTTGAAGCCCCATTGGACCCTGTTCGCTGGAATAGAGTTTACTAAGAGAGCTCTTAAATCCCTGCGGTCGATCTCCGGCTTGTCGTTATCACCACCCTCGTGCTCGACCTTGAGGTAAACTTTACCCTTTGCATTAGCAACCGTGATTGTCGCATCGTAGCGCGCGATCGATTTAAATTGGTCCAATAAGCCAGCTTCCTTGAGAGCGATCTGGCCGGAGTCAGCATGAATGTCGAGCGCGCCGCCTCGCCCGGTGGCCACAGTGGCCGCGGCAATTGCTGATTCGTCTTGCTCGAAGATGACGAAAGGGATGTTGGCAACTTGTAGGAGTCGGCCTAGTGTTAGGCCACTTGGGCCTGCACCGAGGATGGCAATTGGGGGAGTCATGTTGGAAAGAGATCGGATGTGTCTACTGGAATTAGAGAGTCCAGTGTGCTTTGAAAAGTCTCTATGCCGAATGCCCTGTTTATATATGGCTCAGTTTTGTCTTGCACTTGCTCGCTCGAAAGGGAGCCAGACGTCCAACGAGATAAGTTCCGTAAGCTCCGACCACGGATAGCAATAGGTTGAGTCACGTATGGAAAAATCCGTTCGTGCTTGATGCAAATAATAATTACAATGTGGTTTGGGAATTCATCTGTCGAGTCGCAATTTTATGATGCCCGAGTCTTGTATCCGTATAATGAGAGCTGAAACGAGGCCAGTTTTCCACACTTGAATCTGTTGCCAAGCCCAATGAAATAAGGCCCGTAAGCTCCACTGGGGCCTTCTCCATAGATGGCTCGGGCCAAAAACCCCCTCACAACCTCCGAACTCTATCCACATTTCATCTCCAACCTCCTCATAACCTCCGGCACTATCCCAATTCCATATCTCAACCAACTACCGTCTTAATGACGGAGATCCTGGCTCCATATGCTGTAAGCTTCTGTCAATCGCTAACCTTCTGAAATCAGGCACTGACTAGAATGGTTATGAAAGTGCGATAACTGCCGATCCCGCAAGGTGCGGCTATCTATCCACCTAGACAGCGGGGAGAAAGAGTTTTGACAAGTCTATAGGTTGCATGCTCTCGAGGACGCCCCGGATGTCTGCGCTGTAAAGACGAGAACGTTGCCTGCAACTACTCACGATCTGGAGTGATCCGTCGGAACAGGAAGCGGAAACATGAAACACTTGTCGCCAATCAGTCCTCTCCCAACACTCCTGGTGGCAGTGGTAGACCTCCTGGAGCAGCAAACGACAGTAATCTGCAGTCTCACCTGGCGACTGACATCGCAATGACCCATGAACGGCTAAATGGGGTGGATTACTCGAAACACATTCCTCTAGGTGCGCTCTCATCTCTGTCGGAGGCCTGCGCGGCGGTCTGGCACGATGCTTCGGAATTTGAAGAGACTGGCAACGGATTCTTCTTGTTCGAAGAACATACTGTTGCCTGGGTCGATTGTAAGCGCAAAAGATGTTCGTTTCAACAAGACTACTGCTGATACTTCTAGCAACAGCATTTGTCGCTGCACTTGACAAAGGTCGCCCTTTGCTCAATTCGGCGCCTCTGGAAGTGCTGGATCATTTAAGGGAATGTCGCCCAGATCAAGTGCATGACCGAGCTTGGCTGGTCATGTATTACAGCATCATTTTAAGTATGATATCCTCCACTGATCCCACGAACCAATCTACCAAGAAAAAGCTCCGACGCAATATCTGGCTTGCCCTAAATGACGTGAGACTCTTTCTCGAGCCCAGCGAGGCGAATATCCAAGCTTTGACTCTTCTAGCATGCACTGTGGAAGAGTTTACCACTCCATCGTTGTGTTGGATGCTAGCAACAAACGCCTGTAGAATGCTGCAGGCATTGGGCATCAACCATCGCCGTCTCGACGCTCAGACCCACGAGCGGCGGGTTATGCTGTTCTGGCATCTGAATTTGCTGGACAAGGGGTTGGCTCTCATCTTTGGTCGACCGCCAACTTTCCACCGGGCGATGGCGAGAGAGATTGGTCTGCCGACGCTCGAACAGCTGTATTCCTACCAGTCTCAGGCTACCTCCGCCGGAGCCCCCGGATTATTCGGAGCGCATTACTTCTACCAAAGGTTGTTGCTGACGCGTATAATGAGTGATATCTGGAACTGTCTTTACGAAGATGCAGCGCCGGACATCCGAAGTATCGAGGTGGCAAGCGAGGAACTGAAATCGTGGTATCGTCAGGCACGAGAGGTGGGTAGTAACCGTATTGCAGGGTAAGGGACACTCAGCTGACAATACATCCAGCTTCTTGAGGCTGCTGCGGTGACAGAGAAACCTTTCCTAAACGCCCGTAGTGCAGCCTCCATTGATATTGGTTTACACTCTTTAAGATTCATATATCTGTATCTTCTCATTCTCTTGGCCAGGTTCTCCAGCCAGATGAGGACGCAATGCATCGACTCATCAAAGCAGATGCTTCATTTACTCAAGTACATGGTTGTCGACTTTGATGAACCGTATATCAGTATTGTATGGCAGCTACTATGCGGTCCTTTCACCCCATTCCTGGAGCTCTTCGGCGAGATCGTTTCGAACGGGAAGGCCAACCCGGAAGAGAAGCAGGAAAATCTGGCCGCTATGGAGCAACTGCCAGTCTTTCTGGGTAGGATGAGTTCGTGGAACTCGCTTGCGGCAAAGCTGGAGCGCATCGCTGTGGCTTTTGTGCAGCATGCGAAGTCTGTGATGCACCCTCAAGGTACGTACGCATCTGAGCGCTTCAGACCAAGATCGTGGTAACTCACATTTAGTGCCCGATAGGAACCCATGCTGGTGAGGCTGCGCCAGGCCTAAGTATTCCGAATGGAGCGTTGCCTGATCCCTGGCCATCGACCGGAAATATTTTACATTGGGATGCATTCTTCAACCATGCCGTGACGTCGCCGGTATCGGGTCCGCCACAGACCGGCAACTATGATGCTCAGACAATTGATTTAGAAGCATGGACATCTGATTTCTTTGGAGATGCTATGTTTGACTGGATTGGATGGGAGAGTCATATCTGAAGTCTCAATTGTGATGATTAGACATGTAGCGACTTGAATGGATTTGGGAGGTATCTGAAGCGGCCATGTGTATGTCGAACTTGAGGGTAGATGATCTCGCTATAGGGCCGATGATTTCGCTGTAGGGCCGATGCACCGATATGATCACCGACTGCCTCTCCTAGGCGAAAACTGCCATTTGATCTGCTCCTGAGTGCTTGGGAGAATGCATGGCCAGACAGAGGGATTAAACCACATGGGGTTACTGCGGGGATCATACAATACAGTAACTAGGGTAAGAGAAATAGTGTTGGCTTAGCGCAATTAATGTGTGTGTGTGGGGAGCTTCATCGGTTGGAAGAGATTGCTAAGCTAAGAATGTTCTACTTACAAATTAACGGAATGTGTTAGCAAGACTTGCGTGATAGCTCCGCCTGAACCCTAGGAATGTCTAGGGGGTGACTTTTCGTAAGGGTTATTTGCTCTCTGTACCTGTGACCAACGCTCTCAACCGTACGAATTACGTTTCATACTTTTCGTCTTAGTACTGTCACGTGAGCTGTAGCAAACGTAGTATAGTCCTTATACGTTTTGTTTTGTCTTGTAAGTTATAGCTATAGACTGTACTGCGTCTTAAAAGCTTAACTTTTAGGTAGAAATTACCTATTAGCTTAGACATTAATAGGTAGGGACCTATAGCACTGTTAGACAAGTTTTTTAATAAGCTAGTTATTAATTAGGGGGTAAGATTGCCTAATAACCTAGGTGTAGCATTTTCTACCTAAATTAACACTACTAAATCTTTTTATATCTTAATATTATGTTAACTATGTGTAATTTTCTTAGTTAATAAGCCTCTACATAGAGCACTAGCTAGTTGCAAAGCTCTTAAAGCTCTTAGTTAACCTAGAGTAGTAACATAATCTATTATACTTATTTCTATTACCTAAAAAAGTTATAATTATTATTATTAAAGTTCTTATTCTATAATAGCTTTCTAGCTTTTATATATAATTTTTATATAAAAAAACACTCTAAAGATTCTTTTCTTAATCTAGAAGTAATATTTTTAATAAAGTAAAATAATATATAGCTTACTAGTAAAAAGCTAAAAGCAGAGGAGCTAAGTTACTATACAAAACACTTTTCTTAGCTCTAAGGTAATAAAAAAGTGTTAGTAGTATAGAACTATAAAGCTAACTTACTGTACACTAAAGAAGGCTTAAGGGTAAAGCTCTAGCTCTGCTAACTCTGCTATTACAGAGGTAATTACACTACTACTAAAATAGTTAATAGCTATAGCTATATTAGCTACTATTTTAAAAAAAAGTATAAAATTAATATTAGTAGTAATAAAAGTTTTTTACTTAATTTTTTTTATGCTTTACTTAATTCTTAGGCAGCAACAGCTGCTATAGTAGTAGGCTTAGCCTAAGTTGCTTTTTATAATCTCTAGTAAAAAAGGTTATTATAAAGGTTGTTAGTAAACTAAGTTATACTTTATAATATATTATTTATAATAGCATTCTTAGCTAAACTTTAAGGCCTTTTTACTTAGAACTAACTAGATCTTTTTACTACTATTCTAAGCTTAAATGTAATAATATTATTATATATAAAGTAAAAGTTAACACGCTAGAAGAAAAAGATTTAAATAATATTAAAATTAGCTAAGTTAAAGGTAGTGTTAAGTATTAATATATAAACTTTACTAAACTACTTCTTCTTTTTTAGAGTAGTAGCTTACTTTCTTAGTAAGTTTAGCAAAACTTTAAAGGGGCTATTTTAGTGTCTTAGCTTAAAAAACTAATAATAAATAATAACTAACTCTTACTTTATAAATATTAATTATTAATAATAAGACTTACTTATTAGCTTCTACAACTTTTATAGTAACTATATAAGGGCTAACTAAGCGCAGGCTATCTTTAAAATTATTTAGAATTATAAAATTATGTTAAAATTTAGTTATTTTATTACTAATAATACATTTAATAATAATAACTTTACTATTAACACTCTAGCTAAATATCTTAGAGTTAACTTTAATAAAGAGCACTGCATACGCTATACAGGCTATATAATTTAATTAGTGCTAAAGGCAGTTATCTATAGTAAAGAATTATTATAATTTAAAGCTACTTTTATAAATATAGCTTTCTAGAATTAGTTTAAGCTTTATTATAAACATAAAGTTATTAGTAAGCTATATAACTTTATTAATACTATTCTTTTATTACATAAACACTAGAAGGCCTTTATAGCTATATAATTATCTTTAAAAGAAAAGGATAAGCTCTAGAGCTTTAGCACACTTAATTTAATACAGGACAGCAGCGTCTACTAGCATTCTATATATCTAATGCTTATACAGTGCCTAGAGCTTAAGAATCTAATTACTAAGTTTATCTAAAAGTAGCGCAGCATAGATAACAACACTAAGGACTCTAATATACCTAGCAACACAGCTTTTTAAGAGATTATTAGTAAAAAAAACTAAGAAAAAGTTAAACACTTTACTAAGTTTTTTAAAGTTTTTTATTAAATAATAAAATAGCTAAAGGGTAATAGTAAGCATAGTTTTTTATAAATATTTATTATTAATATGTAAGTGCTATATAATAAGCTATTATAAATAAAGAAGAAACTTTTCTTTAAGCCTAATAACAGTTACTTTAAAAATAGCGTCTCTTTTAGACTTAAAAAAATTAATATATATTTCTAGAAAATAGTTATTAATTTTTTTATTTTTTACTTAGTAATTACTACTATACTTAACCTACAACTTTATATACTCTAGTTTAAGGACTACTAGCGTTATTACTAATTCTAGTACTAAAAGGCAGAGACCTTAATAAAGGTTATTTTCTAGTGTTACATTAATGCTAAAGAAGATAAGAAAGTTAATATAAATCTCTTCTAGCAGAAGCTTTTAGTAATAAGCTTTTATAACTTTTATTACTAAAAGGCTTTTATAGTTAACACTTCTCTTTTTACTAAAGCCTAGAGTTATAAAAAAGCTTAGAAAATAACAAAGTTATAGTAATACTTTAACACTTATATAAAAAACTTTTAAAATGCTAAAGTAAAAAATAGCTATTCTTTATAAGCTAGCTCTCTTACTTAGTAGCTTAAAGTAGGTTAAAAATAGTATTCTACACTATTTAAAATTACCCTTAACTTCCTTGCTATACCCTCTACTAGCTGCAACTGCAAGAGAGCCTTTAGTAAAGGCTAGCGTACAGTTATAATTAATAGAGGTTCTCTCTTTAAAGCTACTATTAAAGCGCTTTAATTGCAGAAGAATTAGCTATGTTATTAAGTTATAAAAAGTAACTTAATTAAGCTTATAAACTTTATCTAAAAGCAGCTAGTTACTATACTATAAAACATTAATAGTAGTAAGTAAGATAAAATGTTAAAAAGTATAAAGATTTTAGTGTATTTTAGTTTAGCAGCAAAACAGACAGCTAAGTCGCCTAGGCTGTACAAACGTAGCAGGAAAGTGAGACGTTGACGTCCGTCAATTACTACGTTTTGTTTCGTTTCGTTCGGTTGAGAGCGTTGCCTGTGACATGTATGTCAGTGGATGAGAATATGCCACTGACAATCTAATCTTCAATAGTGCGCTTCGTGTAGATTGTGAGAGATTCAATGGACTCGTATTAGAAATTTACGTAAATATGAAAGGCGCGCCTTGTGTTGATGGGATTGCTATGGTAATACTGGGGAATAAGCATATTAACCAGCCACGTAGTGCAGAGCGAAAAAAAACTAGGACATGGTGAGCCTTTCGTAGCTGACATTAAATTCACTTACGGCAACATTGTGCAATAAACATAGTTGGACTGCAGAACTAAGATTTTCCAAGATCCCGAGACTGCTAGCTAATAGGCCTCCGTTTCGGGACCAAAACCCTGCAGATGTGGAGGCATCTAAGCCAACCCAACATTGTTTATCAGGAAAGGATGGGAGTTGGAGCACAAACCAAATGACACTCCTCGAGCCATGCTGAAGCCTTTGTAGCGAACATCCTCCGGCAAGTAGTGGCCGTCCTGGTCCCAGAGAAGAGCATTGGAAATTGCTAAACACTTTTCAGATTATTCTCTAGCATCCTTAGAGAATTTCACAGGGCATCCGCAACATACCCCAGAACCACTGAGTCGAGCTGCCGGGTTCCTTCGATATACACTCATTCTAATATTTATCTTGTGGTTGCGCAAAAGGGATATGGACGCTTGCTCGTGCCTTCAAAGGCGACCCCGAATCACTGTTCAACAGCGTGAGAACACAGGTTATTCAAAGCTCATGCAGGATTCAGGCTAGGCTAATACCACAAAATCTAACCCAAAACACTCATTCTATTCCCAACACTGGTGCTCTCTACCTCCGAACCCCAGCCCACACCCCCTCATCATCTTCCTCACCCTCCTACTTCCTCCTGGTCCCTGCTTCTTCCCTTACCAACTACTCTACCCTTCTTCCCCTCGACACTGATTTTCTCCAGTTCACTTTTCTAGCCCTTACCTACATCTGCTTTACTCTCCGGCGTCTTAAATACTTCTACTCCCACTTGGTAGAGTAGTTGCTGCATCTGTCGTTACAGATCGTCGTTTGTACCAACGAAGGCGATTGAATGGAAGACGCACAATCCTGTGCACCTATTGATTTAAAGCGAATGCTGTCGGGTCCGTACTCGGAAGCGAGTCCTTCGGTGATCTACGAATATAAGCAATGATGGCGAGAATGCTGGAACGGACGACTACCATATTCACGAATGATTTGCTACCATCGCAGTAAACCAACTCTTCTTTGGCGTGATAGCCGCCGATGGGCGAAGTGTTCGGCATGACTACAGCGTTCTGCTTCATGAAATATGGCATCACAACCGCATTCCTTAGGTATATCCGCTTCATGTGGATATCGATCAACATCTGCCAATTTTGCTCCGTCACCTCATGTAAAGGCTTCTTAAATTATGCTGTGCTTGCGTTGTTGAACACGATATCTAGCGTTCCAAACCTCTCCAAACCCGCTCCCGGCGCCAGTAATAATACAGGCCTTGCTATTGAGCTTTCTTTGCGAAGCCATGGCGAACAGTGTGATTCTGAGTTTGACCCCTACGGGGAAAATCTAGATATCTGATTTGGGGGAATTATGGTTCATATCGCAGGAGACGGTTTCAATTACCACGCCCAAGCTCCAATATAATAGGCATTCCACACCTAACGGGATAGACCGGCTGTTCAACCCCGGGTGGATAGTCCCTCACGACGCGTAAATCTGCCGTGACTAACTGTATCGCCAAACCGCGGCTGATCAAGTAACGTTCCTGAGGTTGTGGGGTCAGGGTCCGGTCACGGTTTGGTGTTAAGAAGAACTGCAAAGGTCGGTGGATCAGAAAGAAGAGGGGGGAAGGTGAGGCATTGGAGATACTTTAGCACAGTTCGTTGGGGATTTGGAGAAACGTAATACTAAGAGACTTATAGGTCGCCAAGAATCTGCAAATGCAGGTTAGCACATGTCTTAAGGATCCTCTACCCCTTTAGACCACTATTCTCCTGAATTTCGTGAATTCGGCGTAATGATTTGATCTTGAGGCGCCATTATTGGAGAATAGTACGAGAATGTAAGTTGAGCGACCTAGTTGAAGGTTATCTCAGCTAGCTCAGACGGCATGCCAAGAAGACACTAGTACACAAATAGTATAGATACTTTCAGACCCCTGCTGGGGCTTCTTCCTTCTTAGCTGCTGTCTAAGGGACTTTAGTGCAGCGCGACGTGTGCAAAGCTTTGTCTATTAACTTACTAGAAACTTCTATATAAGATACTATTACACACAGCTTATTACAGCACCTATAATTAAAATTAATTACTTAAAGAGTATATATAATCTACTTTAGACTATTTTTAAATAAATTTTTAACATTCTAACTATAAAAATTATAGGCTTAGCATTATACGCGTTCTAACGCGTAACTATTTCTCTTAACTTTATCCTTTTACTAGTCTATCTACTTATGTTTAACTATTAATAATAGCTAAGATTAACTAACCTACCTTAATTTAGCCTCTAGAACACGCTCTCTATCTTAAATAAAGCATGCTAGGTTTAAAGGCTGCTGCATAGATTTAAAATAGTAATATATAGTATAAGTAAAATAGTCCTAATCTATAATTAAGTTATTTAGTAGATGCATAAGTGTTACCTAGTCTAGTAAATTATAGTAAAAAGCGCGCCTATTATAATTAAGTATTACTTATTAAGTGTTGCTAGGCACCTTATTAATAAGACCCTAGGTCCTTTACTAGAACACTAGAGAGCGCTATACTAATAGAAATCTAAGCTATATAAAAAAAAATTGCGCATATTTTTTTATTTAATAAAGATAATAATATCTTTATAACTATTTATATAGTTATAGTTTAATGTTAAAAACTGCGCAGTGTTAGCTTATAAAAGCCTTTTATTTAAAATACTTTCTTTTTCTTACTTAGTAAGAGGGAACTATATACTAAGTAGGTCTGTGTTGTCTAACGCCTTATTTTTAGTTTAGGCAATATAATTCTAGTTGCAAAGACTAGGTTTAGTAAGAGTATTACACTACATGCGTATTTAGTAATAATAAGGTATATAATACTCTAGATTATCTTATTATTAAAGCTTAAAAAAAAGTAAAAAAAAAAAATTATAAAATATCTTAAAGCTTATTTATGCTTTATTACTATAAAAATAAAAAATTCTAATCTTAAACTTTTTAGTAAAATTTTTAAAAGATGTTATATATATATTTTTTTTAGCTTTAAGTAGGTAATCTTTTTAGTATTTTATTATCTTTTTCTTATAAGCAGCTTTATAGACTAAGTCTAACTAGTTATAATTAATAAGTGCTATGTTATTTAATAGTAGTGTAAATTCTAAACAGCATATATTTAGTTTTATAAGCTTTATTAGATAATGTGTTTTGCAACTCTTTTCTTTACATGTACAGTAACCTTAGATGCTGCAACTAAGGCCTAGCTTCTTAAAAGTAGATGTTTTTAAGCGCTAGCAACTAGTAATAATAACACTTCTATGCAGCTAAGAATTATACGCACCTCTATTAACAGGCTAGAGATTGCTATTAGAATTGTTCTAATCCTAACTAGCTGCTAGACGTTATATAACCAGCTTCTAAACTATATAGATGTAGGAATTAATATAGAAACATTATAAATTATCTTCTTACACATTTTAAAGATAATTATATTTTTAAATAAAAAAAATAAAATTACTACTTTAGCCTAGCTTTTTTAGAGTTAACTTTTAAAAAAGGGCTATTTACTTATAGATATTTAATTAGTGTTAGCAGTATATATAAGGCACATATTAAAGTTTAACTAAGCTTAAATATATACTAATTTCTTAGAGAATAAGTTTCTAATCTAAGTTGCTATTACTACAACTGCGCTTAGAATAGGTATAGATCTGTCTAATGTCTAGCATGTTTATTAGTAGTTAATTCTAATTATAGATAATATTAGAGACTTAATTTAGCAGTTTAGTTATAGAGTAAAAAGACCTAGATAACATGCAACTACTATACTATTTATTCTATATTATGCCTTTAACTGCCTTAGGAAAGGGCTAGTAGACTACTCTAAATTAAAGTAGTTACAAAGTTAGTAGGCTAGTAAAAAAAAAAAAATTAATATAAAATAAGTTAGCATTTATTATCTACACTTTATACTATGTTTACTATGTTAGACTTGTCTAAGGGCAATTACTCTAACTATACTAGCACACTAGTAGGGACAGCAATAAACTAGGCAAAGCAGGGAATATTAGCTAGTTAAGATGTGTAGGAGTAGGTCTAGTTAGCTTATTATAAACTACTAGGCATATTAATAGTGCTAGAATAGTTAAAAGTAGAGCTCTAGTTGCGTAAAAGTATCTACCCTAAGTAGTTAAATCTAATTATGTTAAAGTGCTACTAGAAGTTTATTTTTTAGTATTTTTAAAATAAGCTTATAATTCTGTTAACTTAGAGTCTACCTTTGCTACTAGAAAGGTGCTATACTAGCTATAATCTATTTCTAGTTAAAAATACCTAGAAGCTAAGTTTAGTTACATAGCTAACTACACCTTTACTAAAAGCTAAGGCTAAAGTTGCTCTTAAGTAAATCTAAGTTAAATATAGTAAAGTAGCACTTTTTATTTACATTAATAATAAGAACATATTATAAAGGCCTAGTTCTTTTATATTTATAGTTAATAAAGTTTTTATTTTACTACCTAGATCTATTTTTATACTAGTTAAGTTTTAATAAAAACTAGCCTATAAAGTTAAAAAAGCTTAAAATGCTATAAAGTTTAGTATAGTGTTTACTTAAAAACACTTTCTTAATACTAGTATTCTACTACAGTAGTAATATTTTAATATATATAGGCTAAGCTTCTACGCTTTTTTTTATAGTATTATAAATAGTGTTTACGCGCTTTATTAGCAACAGTTTTCTAAGCAACATATAAAAAAAAAAAGTAATAAAGACCTATTATTAAATTTAACTACTTTTTAGTAAGGTAGCACTTTCTCTACTCTTCTAAAACTTACCTTAAGGGATAAAAATAACTAAGTTATATTATAAGCTGCGCGTGCTTTTTAATTATGTGCAGCCTATTATAAGCGCATTTATAGGCAAGCAGCAGTTACTGCTGTCTCTATAGGCGTCTTATCTACAGAGGAGGCGCCTGTCTTTATCAGCCCTGCAGGTCTATGTCTGCTGTCTACATTAAAGTTGTCTGCTATGTTATGTCTTATAACTGCAGATATGTTATTTTTATTAGCACATATACTATTAAATCTTTTGTTTTTACTTAATATTACTATGTAGTATAATAACAGTAGCTAACCTAGTCTAGTACTTATAACTAAAAGCGCCTTCTCTTTATCTTTATTTATTAAAACTTTATTATGTAGATAAGTGTTATTTAATATTACTTCCTTAGCTATAAATATATAGTTGTGTAAAGTCTAATCTAATAGTATATTATAAAAGCAGTATAGGTCTTAGCTTACTAAGAGTAGAGTTAGAGAAGAACTAGTGCAGCTGTATTAAACAGGGGATTGTAGTAATAGTAGAGCATAGAGAAGTATATTACTAACTTTAAAAGCACAGTGTTTAGGGCTATTTTAGTAGTTATTTTAGAGAGGAGGGTAATAAAGGTTATTATACAGGTTATAGGGCTTGTCTAGGCGCACTAGAAGCAGGTTAGCTAGCGCTAGAAGTAATAAATAGTGTAAGTTAGTCTTAATTTAAAATATAACATAGTTTATTATCTAAAGTAAAAAAAAGTAGTAGAAGTAATTAAGTATAGTAATCTAATTAGTAAGTTTTACTAAGTAACTTATACTATAGTAGAGGTTAGCAGTAAAGAGCATAAAAGAACAGAGGATAGTTAAGTGCGCTAGTTCTAGTATTTTATAGTAAGGGCTGCAACCTTTCTAGATTAGGCAGTCTATAATATTAAGTGTGTATGTTGCAGCTAACATCTATTCTTACATTTATAATTACACTTATTATTATAACTTTATGTGTAGTCTTTATTATAATTATAGCTTTTTCTACTTTATTTATTCTTTTTAAGCTAATTCTATTCTTTCTTTATAGTTATATTTATATTTACCTTTATAACTACTGCCTTCTTTATAAGTATTACTGCGCTTATAACTTTATTTATAACTATAAACATAGCTATAGTTATAATATCTACTTTATTTACTTTTTTTAAGCTAATTTTATTCTTTTTTTACTTATTTAAAGTGCTCTGTAACTTATATTATCTTAACATAGATTACGCCTACTAATTAAGCTAGCACCTGCTATACACATAACAGCAACTACTTCTAATAGCTAGTGTTTTATAGTATATAAAGGCAGGCTATTTTTTAACCTTCTGCTCTTCTTTACTTTTAGCATTACCTCTAGCACTAACTTTCTATGCTTTACTTTTAGCATTAACTTACTTAATAGCTTTTTACTTTCTACTTTTTACTTTTTACTACTTACCTTTTACTTTTTTATTTAATAGTAAGCTACTATATATAATCTATACATGTCTAAAACTAATAAAGTAAAGTAGATAAAGTATTAACTTACTTTTTAACTTTACTTTTTACCTTTTTAAGCTGTCTATCTTAACTACTATCTACCTTACACGCGCTAGCTATAACTATAGTCTACTATAAAAATGTCTATAAAGTCTGTAAGAAGTACTAGCTGCTTATTAGTAAAGTAGACTTTACTAGCATGCTATAAGCCTATAATACCTCTACTGCGCTAGCAATAGCCTGCCTAAAGGCTAACAAGAACGTGCTTAACTTTAGCACTAGCGCTAAAAGAGCTATTATTGCTGTAAAGCTTATAGTAGGCAACAGCGTCTGTGTAGGCGTAGATGTAGTATAGAGCTTTCTTAACATTAATGTCTTTGCCTACTTTACATGTAAAAAGCTTACGCGCGCTTTAGCTAGCTAAGATAACTAGAAGGTGTTCCTTCTTAAAGCTAGTGTTACATAGAGAGACCTTTTAAACCTTGTTATAGTATACATTAGCTACTTTATTAAGTT